GTCATTTTATTATTACTGGCTTTCCACTCCCAACTTCATTCGGGTGTATTACAACCACAAAAAGGATATCGGAGGTACTGCACAAAGAGATAATATTATATATCATTAATGGTATTCCGGCAAGGCGTTATAGTTCTCAGCGTAGACACACTGTGCGGGTACAAAACGTTGAACAATAACGCACCCCGAGTCGGCAAACCGCAAATGTAAAATTAACATTTTCACCTATATATATATGCCTGCACGTATACAAACTACACACTATACCGCAACTCTGTGCAACGGCAAACATTTGAACCTCTCCTATTCTCGTTTAGCATTCGCTTCCGAATCGATCGTGTCCCATATATATATACGAATTTAATTTAAATTAAATGAAACGAGATGGATAAGGGATGTACACGTATAGGGAGTCGATGGTGGGTGTCGCGTGGATGACGTCTTCCTCCGACGTGGATACACTGTAGCTTTAGCTGAACGTATAACGATGCCACGCTGCCTCCGGCTGTTACCCAAGGCTCGACACCTCGTCACGTATAGGTTCACACGCCCGTACGATAAGTACACTGATTGAGTTTCCGAAACTTTTGCGACCCGACTGGCTGTTTTCTCGTGCACCACTCGGTTGACTTATCGGTGCGCGGAATCTGTGATAATAATAATGGTTGTTATCGTTACTACATCATCGTCGCGCCGGCTCTTTTTTGTTTTTTTAATCGTGTCGTGGAGCCTATATAGAACTTGGTTCCCGAGAGATCCAGATCGATTCTGTTTATCCAAGCTTTTGGTGTTTTGCCGACTAACGCGCAATCGATCGTACACCTATACTGTAAAGCCGGTGTCGATACGAGCTCTATACGTGTAAGGATACCGGGATTGGTTGGGGCTGTGACAGTATAAATAGGATTGGTTTGACCCTTGGTGAAATGTTAAGCGAAATTTTTTTCGTTTATGAACTTTGGTAAAATTTCAACTGCACTATGGCTGTTGAAATGAAACATTTTTGCATAGCTAGGACTAATTGGCGTTTGAAGCGCATTCCATGTGTACGTTAACGACATAAGTAAGAAACAATGACACTCCACGACAATTACCCGAAGCGACGTGGCCTTGTGTGTTGTCTTTGGTGCAGAGACATGAACGATACGTCTCGAAGCTGGTTGGCGTATATGAATTTTTTTTTTTTTCTCCTTAACGTTTAACACACCTCGGGTGGTGAAGAAAGGGTTGGGTCTTCGAGCTCTTTATACTTTCGCTCGTGGTGTTTATACAAATTTACACCTTATTCTCGCCAAGAAGTGCAAGGTTTCTTCGCGCTTTAAAATTAATGGTGCGAAAGGCTTTCCGCCATCAAAAAAAAAAAAAAAAAAAATACTAGAAGGTACTTTAATATTGTGTCTTTTTAAAAAATTTTCATTTATCTCACACTTTTGATTAGTTTACGGGAATTGAATGAAATGAAGAAATCCCGCAAACCTAAAAACATAATACAAATGCACCACGTTTCCTTTTTCCTATACACGTATATAAACAAACTACGAATCATTGTCATCGTCAAAATTTAGCGACATTTTATAGGAGAAAAAAAAAAAAGCAAAAAACCTGAATGAAACGTCCAGCAGCTCATTTACTCAAGTCCATTTGCATCGTATACGAAGCGAGAGTAGAAAATCTTCATTGAAAAAAAGAGTCAGATCGTCGAGTGGGAAATCTCGTACGGCAAAAAGAAAGAGCCCACGATCGATGAAAGTGGGTCCATTCCTGTTTACTTGACCGTCAAATCCTCGGCGAGTTTCCTCCGACGCTGTGACGCCTAAAGGGATTAAAAAAAACAGGAGCCACGAAAAAAGGGTCTGTCAAAGTTGCCCTCGAAACTAAATGTATGGATCGCGATGTACTACAAACTGCTGGTAACGTATATATAAGCAAGAAAGAGAGCCGACGGCCTGGAATATATACACACTCGATTAACCGTATGTAGGTACCTATGTACGCCACCGAAATACTAATCGTGCACCGAATGCGCGTCGGCATTCCGCTAAATACCAGCTGTCCGCGTACGGGCCTGTAACTATATGGGTCGATACACGCTCTCGCACGTATATATATTTATTGGGTCAGTGAAAATTAAACGTTTACCGCAGTGATGATAGCTTTTTTTTTTTTTTTTTTTTCTTGCTCGCACACTAAAACATACATGTGTGCGTCTGGTTCGCGTGTCTGGACCGTATGATGTAACGCGTGTGAAAAAATAAAAAAATGTTTTTTCTCTCCACTCCCTCGACGTCGAGAGAAGCACGAAAATAGGCCAGACGAACGATTTAACTTGTTTTTCGCTCGGCCGACCGCCGCGGGTATAGGCAGGTAGGTATTTCCCTCTTTTAACGCGCTCGTTATGTAAGTTACGCGTGCGTTTGCTCCGCGCGCGGGGATGATGCAAAAACGAGTTATCGATTACACTGTTTAATTCATCGATTCCAGGAGTCGGCGTGTTTCATATGCACAACGACCCATTCATTCGCTTGCGCGTGTCCTGTATATATACGTTACCATTCCTGGTCTAGTGTACATTACACGCATATATAGGGACAATAGCGTGCGTCTCGCTCAACCGTATCACCAATGTACAGTATAAGAAACAATTACCTTATATACTCTAGGTACCTTACATGTATGTATAATATACGTATGGCGATCGATTGTACTTTATTTGCGCTTCGATTGTAGAGAAGGTACGTGATAATTTATGAGTAGGGAATCGACCAGATTTATATATCGAGCTTGTACTTGCGTGAAAAAACAAAAGAAAAGACCGAGAACGCAGGTATATGGTGTATATATATCAAAAAAGGAAGAAAAATGCAAAACCTGAGTGCGTTGTTTCTTGGACGTATAGGTATGTGTATGAGTATACGTTGCGAGAAGAGGCTACTGTGCGGGTTCATTGTTCACTTTCTTCTCGCCGCCACTGAGTGCGTGCCATACATTGGAAGGAAAAAAAAAAAAACGCTCAAGGTAAATTTGATGACACGATTTATGGTTGGTATGTTCTATTATTTATTTATTTTTTTTTTTTTCATCGTCATCGTCCTCGTCACGGGCTCGATTAGGTAATGTACGAGCAATTTTTCTTTTGTCAATAGTACAAATGCGAGTCACCGTACGAGTGTAACAATCGAGAGTCTCTTTTGTACGTGAGAGCACATGGGATAAGTTACACCAATGTGCCCGCAGAGACTCGATCTTTATTTTTTACAACATTTTACTACATCACGTTGAATTTGTATGTAGCGGTAAATACGAGGGATCTTGCGGTATACGATCTCGGGACTTTTTTGCGAATCGCGCGAAAACACGCAGATTTCATTATCATGTAAATTAGGCGATTCTCGATATATTTCTTGTGGAGAATGAAGCTTTTTATTTTATACACAGTGCGTCGGAAGCAGCTTTCACATGAATATTTCATTCATTATTATTTTCAAGGGAACCTTAATTAAAAAGAAAAAAAAAAAAAAAATTTGCACACATATATATGCACACACGCGGCATAGGTACTCGTGCTGCTACTCAACCATTACGGTAATGATGTCTTTTGAAGGGCCACCCTGTAAGGGCGTGCGTTTGGCTTGGCTTAAATGCAGCTTTGCGTCGAGAGCAAATACTTAGCGACGAGCAAACTCATCAAGACAAAGTACCCATACACTCTATCTGCGAAAACCATTAAAAACATTGGGTAATATTAATTATGGTTTCATTTTTTTTTTTTTTTTTTTAATTAAAAATATAAAAAATTGTCAATGTACGTGTCGGATTTATCCAATTGAAATTTAGCGTTTCATCTACACGCGCTTACTCATCGCACCATCAGAGTAACTGAGCCGTTTATTCGAGGTTCGCGTGTCTTACATTCTCATGCACGTCCACTGTCTGTATTACGGAAATATGTTTTTTTTCCCTCCATATACAAATTACGGTATTCGCATCATCAAAATATAAGAAAAAAAAAAAAAAAAAATTCACGCAAGAGACCCGCGCTGTCATTACTATGGAAAAAAAAACCGAGTGTGCGTGCGCGTGCCGGTTAGCACGCGTTAGAGGAGGAGCTATTATTCACGATTAATCATCTCAGGAGAGTCAGCGGGGCGCCATAAAATCGTGTACTTTTTTCGACGAGACAAGGACGGTGTGGGTGGACATAGGAAACTAGAATGCATGACAATGGGAAAAAAAGGCGCGGTTTTTTTCTTTCTTCCAAGTCGGACTGAATGTATAATACTTGTGTACGAACGGAAAATATTTTTGGATGACCATTTTTTTTTTACCACCTGTCCCCATAACATTACATGTACTTACAATACTCGTTGGTCGACGTACGTCAAGAGTGCGATAATTAGTTAACGATGAAAATTTTGTTAAAACTCATGATTTGTTGCAATTTTACAAAATGAGTTGAGCGGTGACTGATTTCAACACGACTGACGCATCGAAACTGTAAAAATCGTGTATTGCGACACATTTGGAGATCGGGTCGGCAGTTCCCTTGCGTCAAAGTACCAACGGCAAAAAAAAAAAAAAAAAACAAAACAAAACAAACATATTTATCAATTTACATAAATAAAATTTGTAATAGACGCGCACGGGGATCTTGGAGTCATTAATTTGTATGACATTTGTACACGTATGTCAATTAATTCCCGCGGTGATGTATGTATATATACAATACATGATGTAGGAGCACCCACCGTCGAGGTGTGCATGGCTGGAAAGAAACTTTCACATCCGCGTCACAAAAATAACCGATCGAAAAAACCGGCCTCGCTCTCGCGCGCAAGCGGCGATCGGAATTTATTAATTAGCATCGCGCGGTGTGGCCCAACACCGAATCAAACCCCGGCTTAGAAAACAAGCCCGTTTGGCAATCCAAAGGTTTTCGTCAGTATATGACTTTTGGATGATTTGTATTTATTTTTTGTTGTTTTTCGACAATAGCGCCTTACCTCGTAAAATATCCACGTGGAGAAGACGGTCTGCGCGAGGTTGTAGAATATGAGGATGCGCCTGAGGTTGAAGGGCTTCCTGTTCTCCATTATCCTCGGGCCGAGCACCTTGCTGAAGTAGGCGTAGGACAGGCAGATGAAGACCGTCGGGAAGGGCGAGCTCATCATCGCCCACTCGCGCACCCTCGGATCTACAATCACACAATTTTTCTCAAAATCTTCTTTTGATGGTTGTTGAGAAGTTTCGCACGTTTTATGTAGATTATAGCTCTATGGATTCAATGATGTGGTTTAAAAAAATTGTACCAATGCCACGTAAAAATTACACAACAGAGCGGACTCATCGCATCAACAGCATTAACTATATTTCACGTAACACTCAAAAAAAAAAAAAAAAAAGACTTTTACCAAATAAATTTATTCTTTATTGCACACAATGGGTACCATATATTATATGTGCTCTTGAGTTAGTATCGCCACTCTCTTTTACAACTAATTCGAATTTAAAGAGCGTAGCCAAAAAAAAAAAAAAAAAAAAAAAAAAAAGAAAACTCGTACGATACATAAAAATGGCCCAATAAACAATAATTTATCGCACCTCGCACAATGTCTTAATTGCACCGAGCGGCCACATAATACTCCCATATCCTGTCTGCAGATACGTGGGCGCAGGGCACTGTTATCGCCGGCCTCTGTTATCGAGTCGGTGTATTGTGTAACTGGAGCGCTCGGCTTTTTTTTTTCTCCTCCGTGCGTCGAGGAACTATTACGATACTTTTCACCGGCGTGACTGCAATTTATTCTCGCTCGAACGAAAAAAAAAAAGTTTTCTTTTTACAGACTCCGGTAACAAAAGAACCTGACGTGTCGGTCATTATCCCGCGTGACGGGACTTTTTTTTCTTCATGTATATGCAGGTGGTTTTGCGTGAAATAAATTTTTTGGACGCGCATTGTGGTCTTGTGGGTCAGTTCGAAATAAAAAAAAAAAAACTTGCGCATCAATCTCCCCCCGAGCTTCTGTTGAATATTAATTTGATGTTCCTTTCGACGGACGAGTCAATTAGCGGTATCCAGCACCGATGAATCCAATCAAACGTACCGATACGTTGTGATTGGGCGCCGAGAGCGATTACGAGGGTCAACGATCGTTGGGGTAGGAAATGAAAAAAAAAAAAAAAAAAAAAAAAAAGAGAGAGAGAGCATTAAAATTTATGATCTCTCGAGCGCGGGTGGGAGGATAAGGTGGCTCGAAATATTTTAATCGCGATTAATTGCAGGATGAATAAAAGATGGGCCCCTCTCGGCGCGACGAGCAGCGCCATTTCCATATCTGAATTAGCATTGAAAACACGCGGAAATATATCCTTTTGGGTTACACACCGCATTTTTCGTACACCAGCGGACTCGATGGACCACCGTCGCGTTACCCATAATTTCGCCTACCCCAAATACTTTTGGAAAAAAATTAAAAATTGGGGATCCGACTCTCTCTACTGCTTATAAAAAAAAAAAAAAAAAACTGCCAACGTCAACTCGCAAATTCTCAAGCAGCCCTCCCACGTACCGTGTACACAGAAGAGCCAAACCTGTATATATTGTATACGTGTCCACACAAAGTGAGTACAGCACCGAAAAGTCTATACGAACGTGCCGCCCATACGCGAGAAAGCTCCTTCTCTCGGGTGATGTATACGTACACGGACCAAAGGCAAGGGTGTCACGAGCCTCTTCCCTCCGTTATCGCCGGCTCAGCAGCTAACTCTCACCGCGACTTGAAGAAGAAAAAAAAAGGGTCAACGCGCCGGGCGAGCTTTTCTCTCCTTCCCCGGGGAGAGCTTAAACGAGCCACTTTTCTTCCCTTCCTCGCGAGTTAAACTTGCTATAAAGCTCGAGCTTGAGGGTTGGGGGAGGGGGGGTGTAGAAAAAGAGAGAATAGGCGTGAAGGGGAGTAGGCTCGTGTGTCGGACTTGACGCGGCAGCCAACTGGAAATTATTACGTAAGCGCGGCTAAGCGTGTGCCGCGATGCTCACAACACTTTCCCTCTATATACACGTATAGGTGATGGCATTATCGCACGGCATTGTTGTTTTGCACTCGTTTAACCTTCGTGCAGGGTACTTAATACAACGCGCTTGCGCCGCACACAAACGCACCTCCATCGGCTCCATCCAGGTATACGAAGGACGTTACTTGCGCGTCGGTTGTTATACCTCTATACATGTTGATGCCACATATACATATATACATATATGGGTAAGTTGGCGCGCATAATGCATCATCATCATCGTGCGCGTATCATGTATGGAGAGCTATTATATCGGGAGACCTTAATTCGCGCGCCGGTGCATCGGACGAGAAGCGCTGGGATAAAGGACAAGTGCATCTTTACCGTGTAAGGGCGTATATACGCGTTTTTAATCATCATCGTCGTCTCTTTTCAATTGATATTTGAAAAAAAATTAAAAACTGTCATCTAATGTTATCGCAAACGGTTACAAGTTACATTGCCATGAAAATAAGTGACATTATGTGCTTGAAAATGAAAAAAAAATTGCAAATAATTAGAGTAACGAGACGCGCTCGCTTAGTAGTTGTATACGTGCTCGTATAGTTGCAGGTAATGGGAGCGTGTGGCAGTATAAAAGCCCGGGCGAAGAGAAGACCGGAAGCGCAATAAAAAAAAAAGAGAGAAAAAATCGGCAAGGAATCCGGATGAAACGAGAGCGCGGTCTATTAGCATGGTAATAAAAGTGCCTAATAGTGCGGGGCGCGTGGATTTGTCGGGGTTTTCCTTGGAGATTCGCGTCGGAGGCGGAGAAAACAATTTATTTTGCTTCGAAAGTAAACCGATGCTCCTCTTGATTAGCCTTAACTTTTCCCGGTGCTATATGGGTGACGATCAGGGACGTACATATTTTACATAATAGCCGGCAAGAGGGAGGGTGTGTCACGCAGAGATTCGATCAATTGAGCTCGTGGTGGTGCAAGTTGTCATCTATACCACCACTTTGGGAACTTTGTTCTCTCAAGGTATTCGGAAGGATAAGCATATCCCTCTTTTTTTTTTTTCATCGCGTTACTGTCGCACCGTTTTATCCTCTTTCATCCCTCATTATTACAGCGTTGTTTCCTCTATATATTTATATTCGAGACACCGATACGCCGATACCGTTTTACACAAGAGAAAACAGATTTACCATACACCATGCAAAATGATCGGAAGCATTTTTATAATCTTTATAAAATCTAGTTGTTAAATCAAATAGCATGCGGGGCACCTGACCCAATATACGCGTACTTATGAGCAAAAAAGAGAAACAAGGAGGAGCACCCGCAAGGTCAGTCACAGCCACACGCACCCTCCTGAGCAACAGCTCGATGAAGGAGAAAATAAAAAAGAGGCTTGTAAGTACCGATACAAGTACAGGAACGCCGATCGGTAAATGCGCGCACGGTAAACCCAACTGCGGAGGAGACACGCGAAAGAGGAAAGCGATGGGCGGTGATGAGCAAACAAAAGAAATAAGAGAGAAGAATACAAGTGTTAATACGCGCTTAATACTATATGTCGCAACGATGTATAGTATCGGACCGGCTGCGCGGCACCTTGTGCGAAACAATACACGAGTGCGAGCTATACTTTTACACGCCGTGCATGTGAAACGATGCGCGTTGGTGTGTATCCCCGAAATTAATTCCGCTTGTCCCATCGGAACTGTTGCAGGGGGTGGCACATTGTGGACGAATTGGTCATTGCTTGTTTTTTTTTTCGTCTTTAATCGGCAAAAGAGAGGAGCGAGCGAGCGAGAAACCGGCCCATATTACTCCCAACTCCAGCGTATATAATATACAGTATGGGAGCAGCTATATACAGTGGCAGTAGATGTATACATAACAGTCAAGTCGAGCGGCAAATTACTTTTCTCAATTTGAGAGCTTGCGCCCAACGGCCAACTGGGCCATGTTTCCTGCTCTCGCTCTTTCCGATGCTGTGCATTTTTTTTTTCCCCTCTTCTGACTTTATTCGCTTAATTGAGTTGACAAATATTGCGCGCTCGATGCGATACTATACGTGTCCCATTGATTGGCGTATTGTAGCGAGTTTTGGCACCGCGCCAAAGTGGACTCTCTGAACGATAGTACATAGGTATTACACTTACGTGTACGTATATATGTATATTTTTCTACAAATGATGTTTTGACGTTGCAAAAAAATGAAAAGGGAGATAACAAGCTTCAAAAGTGACGCTGTTGTTAGGGTAAAAGCACGTCTCATACAGAAGACGTGTACGTTTTGTATGGGATAAAACAAAAAGTGAAAGAGTCTCCTTGCCGTATCAATAATAATCGCAGATGGATACTGCACAAGGAGAGAGAGAGAGAGAGAGAGAGGAGGTATTGCGCAAAAATAAACACACACGAGAGCACGCACGGCAAACGGAATGAATTTATGTAAGATCATTGGGGGGAAAAAAAAATATTATCTGTGTCAGTAAAACAACCACTCTCGCAAAGTCTCGGAAGGAGAAATCCCGAAGGATGGTTGTTATAGCGTATACATCCAAAAGTCGCGGAGCATTATAGAACGCGACGACGCTGAGTATGTCGCATGTCGATGTAGGCCAGCTATATAATCCATTGTGTCGCGCGCGTTCACCTTTCGCGTGTGATGGGTGTAACAAATTGGGCATATTTTTTTATTTCGCGTGTACGAGTTTTCTTTCATAAATTTATTCACACGAGACAATAATTGTATATTGTAGAGGGTCAGTGGTGATTTTTTCCTCGATTTTTTCGGTATCGTTATTTTGTACACATACAAGTTACCAGATACAGGAGACGTAGTAGGACTTACCGGACTTGTTGTCCATCATGTCCCTGTAGCCGGTAACCAGCGTCGCTACTATGCTCGTCATGTTGGCTTATATATCTGAAACAAAAAAGATAAAAACGTAGATGTAAGTAGTTATACCAACTGCTACAAATAAAATTTTGGCTATAAACAATGAATTTCTGCATGAATGAAATAACGAAACGTCTGTAATACAAGTTTAGGAGAAAAATGCGTTTTTTTTTATCGCTCGATTTTTGAGTTAGGTGTTTTGTTTTCTCTTTCCCTCCCAACCGAGCACTAGTACTCGCGAGTCAAAGCGCGATATGATAAGAGGAAAAAAAAAAGGCTTCGTTGAGCAACGCGAAATCCGAAAGTTGCGTCTTTGCTAATTGTTTACGTAAACCTTGTGCGTTTTGCCCTGCAGACGATATTACGTGAACAATGTGTGTGCGTGTGTACAGCCACACCATAAATGATGATGTAGAAAGTTGTTGAGTCCTTCTCTCTTCGTAATATATTTATTGTACAATTTACTGTCAATTTTAATTTTCTATTCTTTTCCCGCTACCGCGACAAAAACAAGTACACTGTATACGCGCGTACGTTTAAAAATAGCTTTCGCGAGCCTCGAACAGGGGCAGGGTACGACCGCGCGAGGAGTAGGAGGTACATTTGAGACTCAGTTCTAAAAAAGAATATGCCCAAGCACGCTCGTTTTTCCGAATATCCGAAAAACCTCGCGAAAAAACTGTGGTACAATCGTTATTTGTAAAAAATGGAGTTTGTCAAAAACATAATGGATAAAGTGTCAAAAATATAGACGTCAAAAAATATGGATATATATGTCATCGTTGGTCGTTATTGTCCAGGTGTGGATAAAGGTAACAAAGGAACAAAGTCACAGGTATTGTCTGTAAAAATCACGATCGTCCATATAAGAGTTAATATATTTAGTTTGAGGTTCGTATACTTGATATCACTGGGGTTTTGGGTTTTTCTTTCAATTTTCCAACCATCAGCCAAGCGATGCATGCATACCTTACATTTTCACGAGCGCTAGTAGTTGATCACGAGAGTGACGTGCACACAAAAACGCTCTTTCCGTCCAACTCTTTTTGCCCCCGATGCTTACAATATCCAGCCAAGCGAGAAATAAAAATAGCTTCGGAAGAGTACACTTATGGTTGCGATCAGAAAAATTTCTCGCTAGACGAGCTTGATTTCATCTTGCAGCGATGCTGGATTTCGCAGCACTTGGGCGCAATAACTTGTATCCAATTTTATGAGCACAATATATTAATACACCTTCACACTAGCCGTGTCTATGGATCATCTTTAAAAAAAAAAAAAAAAAAAAAAAAAAAAAAAACGGTGGGTATAATAAAAGTAGCAAAAACAGCGGCCTGACAAGTGCCCCTATGATATAATATATATATAAGGTTCGGGAGGGGTTCCGAGGAGGATCCAGTATAGAAGCGCCATCGGAGTTTTGGCAGGGAGCGAGACGTCGCTGCAGAGGCTTAATTAACGCCTCGGAGGAAATGTTTTCCCTGCGTTATATACGCGAGACAACCTTTGTAATATATTGGCCCTTTTATAATTGGGGAAGATGAAGAAGACGAAGAATAGAGAGAGAGAGAGAGAGATCGGATCGCGTTGGGGGGGGGGGGCTTTCTTGGCAGTGATTTCTTGTTCGTATTCGGAATTTATTTCCCTACTCATCTTGCAGATTATAGAGTCGCTCTTTGAGACGTGATGTCATCATTATTCGTCATAGCAGAGAAATTTCATGGATGCGCGCAGTTTTAATCTTGGGATTGCGCGTTGATTCGACTAAAAGCTCGTTTCGTGCATCTACATGTATAAAAAGCTCGGGTATGACATTCTTGACGAATCGTCGGAAATTGTCTTCCTCCGTTACCATGTACTGTCAACTACCCCGCTAATTGACACAAAGGTTTTTTTTTTTTTTTTCAACCGTAAGTACTTGGAAGGTTTCTCTCGGTGTTATATATACGTATAAGTACACATCGAATATGAAACTCCAGCCTGTGGATAAATAAATTAATCTGAACCTAAATCTATATTTAGAAAGATAAAAGATACAGGTGGTGGGGTTGAGGGAGGGTATATCTATGTGGAGTATCTCGAGGCAGTACCTATATATATATGTGTGTGTGTGTGTGTGTGTGTGTGTGTGTGTATGTATGTATATATATACATACACGCACTTTTCGCTGCCATGACGTTGTATCGTTAATTGCGAAACGAAAAATATCAGCCCGAGCATGTGAAAATTCATTTATTTTTTTTTAACATTGTTATGGTGCCGAATCAATGAAAAAAATTATAGGCCAACCGTATATGTATACGTACCGATTTAATAATTACGGATGAAGCGCAAGAGGGAGAGGTGACGAGAAAAAGAGCAAGAGCAGAGGGGAGCGAAATGAAATAAAAGCACAGCTATACACCAAAGGGGGGGGGGAAGGGTTGATACCGTTCCACAATGGCTCGAAGGAATTAAGCAATTAATTTTTCACAAAAAGCAGTGCGGCACGACGAGGTTTAGTTCGAGGAGCGAGGGAGAGCCGCGATGGGGTCTCTTTGTGTGTGCAGCGCACACTCTATGCGGGACAGGTGGGGCAGAAAGGTCCATTCCCTCGGGGGGTGTCCCGAACAAATCCTCATATACATCCGGAATCCCCTGCCTCGTTTTACTCTTTCATCGTAATTCAAGTTACAAAAGCCAGAAAATTTTGGTGCGGACGCTGTGGAGCGCTTTAGCTCTCGACTAGCCACCGATGCTCTCTGGGATATACAGTTGGTCGTTGTTGTCGTTGCTCTGGATAGCTCGAGATTATTGGATTTCCGGGGAGTTTGCTGCTTTTTCTTTGGAATCGGCTGTGGGTTGTTGCTTTTTTTCTTTTCATTTTTATTTTGTAGGTATTTATTTTTTTGTGTACGTGTGTGAGGGTTTGCGTCATCGCAATGGTGCTCTTATACGGTGCTCATGATGGATTTTGTCTGTGCGGTCTGCTTTGAGACGCCATAAACTTGGTGTGTACCGTACATTGTGCGACTGGGTCAAAGCACGGTGTAGTTGCTGCAACAGTTGTTTCAAATCCTTTATCGACTTAGTGGACAAAACATGTCTTGTGAAACGAAAAATATACGATTTTTTAGTAAATTGGGACAATAAAACTGTGGTCGAGACGTTGCTTTTGACCAAATCATTTTTTCTGACTAAATTTTTATATGAATAACACTATACTCATAAATTGTGGATCATAATAATAATAATAATATTTATCAACAGTTCAATTTTTTTTCTATAAGCTTTTTAAATGTTAATTATTGAAGAAACTAAAGATTTTGTTACGAAAGAAAACAAAAAGCTAAAACGAGATGCCTGTGTCAAGAGTTAAAAACGAAATCGTCGGGCAGAAAGGAGCGCCATCAGAAACAAAAAAAAAAAAGCGAACATCAATCCAGCGTGTGTCTATCATATGCACAGCATATAAAATATAGATATCGCGTGCGCATTTCTCCATCGACGAAGAGAGTCCAACGAGGATCACTTTCCGGAGGCTGTATATACACCGCGTGCCTCCGTATTCCTCGTCAGCTTTCCCCGTCTGCAACGGCACACACCGAGACATCATCGCTATAAAGGAGGAGATGCTCCGAGAAAGTTTATATACATACTCTTATCCGCGATTACGTCAAAGGTATGCGTACGAGACATGTATATAATATATACACGCTTAAAGAGAAGAGTAAACTGTTACGCGGCCTTCGCTTCCCCCTCCGTTTTTTTATTACCATCCGACTCCCCTTTCTTCATTTATTTATTTATTTTTTTTCTCCTCAACGTAGCAGCCACGCGCGTCTATTTTGGAAGAGGATTCGGATTGTGTGTGGGTACAGTATGAAGAATCCGGAGTCGGAATCTAGACCTCCACGGGTGTTACGCGATAAGAAAGACAAAAGAGGCTTTTCTCTCTTTTCGAGAACTACTACACCGTGGAAAGCCGATAATTCGTTATCGATCCGAGAGAGAGGAGAGAGAGAAAAGAGTTCTGATTACCAGATGGTATGTATATCTGGATTGGAAATTATTATTGCCATTCCGCGAAAGTAAAAATTGCACAAGATACAAAAAGTTTTGTTCGCGTGCCATTGGCGAAGAGAAAAGCATTTTGTGAAAAAAAAGCAACTTATTTTATAATTAATTCAAAGTAACGAAAAGAGACGATAATTGAAAGAGGCTGAAAAAAAAGATGGGAAGTGTGACAACAACATTTTCACGAGAAAATCGCGTTACGAACGACCCGAGAGAGCTTTCGGGTGTGGGAGTACAGGGAACGGAGAGATGATTACGCGCGACTATTCTAAATTTGCTCTTCCGTTCTTCGTACAGTACACAAGTACTGAACTTTTAACCGCAAACGAGGGCCGATGCTCCAGCATTTTGGATGAAATGTATAAATAAAAAAAAATATTCTACGACAAGTTTTATTTCGGGTACAAGCAAACTGTTAAAAGGTGCCGGGAACCAGTTCCAACGAGTTTGGTCACAAGCAATATTGGGCGACTGCTTTTGAAATTAATTGAACTACAAAAGTGTTTGCTGCTGCGTCCCTCCCTTGTCGGGGAGGGTGTTTTTCATTAGAATAATACAGCATCTTCCTTTTTTTGTGTACAGTGTGGGTTCATACAATTTATACGAGCTTTTGGTAATTTTTGTTTTTAAATTTTGGTTCTACGTATGATTTTTATCCTGTGCAGAACGAGCAGTGAATTAATTAGCTTTTTCACATTTTCTACGCGCCTGCACGCTCTTGCGAGCCATTATGCTTCGAGACATAAAAGCAGCCTATCCCTGTGCATCATTAAATATACCAACACACGGTTAACAAAAGGAAAAAAAAGAGAAATACAGGGTGGGAGACCTCGTTCCCCTCGAAAAGATAACCCATTTTCACGATCGCAGTTCTCTGCTGAATCAGTTTTTCTCTCTTGCTTGCATTGCAACGCAGTAGCATCAGCAGCAGCAGAGCACAATGCACACTGCACAGCATATACACCTACAC